CTCTCTACAGTTCTGCTTCCCACCTGCTCAAATAGGTATTTATACTTCCAAATTGGGAAGGGGAAAGAGAGGAATACTGCTGCTGAATGAAACATGACCACTGTCCAGTCAAAACCTGGAGGCAAGGCAAAGGCTCATCAGTTAATGGATGCAGGGTTTCTGAGTTTATGTTCATTCCTTCCCGTCTTCTAATTCTGTCACGATCCCATGTCAGTCTTCATTCCCATACACTGAATAATGAAGTTAGCCAACAACCCCATACCCTTAATAATACAGTGAGGGAAAGGAGGGATGAGATGAAAATTAACTGAATATTAGAATTATGGGTGACACAGCCAAAAAGAAAATGTAGGAAACAGTCTTCATTTCTAAAGCTGACCCTAGTCATAGTTTGTACATAGGACTTCTGATGCCCCATGTCCATTCCATGTTCCCTTTGGCTTCAAAGCAACCTCAGCTTCCAGGGTTTTTTGTTTTTTTTAACTGAGAAACATAAAAAGTTGAATTCTCAAGTGTTTTATTTATATGGGATGCTATACTATTCTATGAACATTTGACACTGGACGTGTTTAAATAGGGGAACTTGGATTCCACCCTTTGAATTCCTTTGGTACTCTGCCCTGCAGATGAGCATTTCTAATTAGTAGTAGGATCAATTATCCCCTTTTTGTACCTGATATCCTGGTAGCATGAAGAGTCCAAAATGACCAAATAAATGATCAGTTTCCAGTGTAAATATTATTGCAGCTTTCCAAATAATTTTTAGCACTTAGCACAGTATCAAATACCCTTGAATGAATATTTATTCCAATTTTTATTGTATTTAATATTTGTTCATCTGAAAACTTATATTTTGCTAAGTCAATTTAGAAAGACCATACTGGTGTTTTTGTATCATTCAAATGTAAAATTTGAACTATAAGCTAGTACTGTATACTACAAACCCCTGCCACTTTCTGCTGGAGGAGCGCCAGGAGCCCCCATTTAGAATAAACGGGGGTACCACAGAGTTAATGCACCAGGAAGCAGCCCTCTACCAGTGAAAGACAGGAAACTGGCAGATTAAAACACTAAAATTCAGCTTCCTCAGTTGGGACAACGCTGACACATGTTCTACACAGACCGCAGAGTTCCCCTCAGAGGGCTAACTTGATATCATATTCTCTTTAGGTTTCCTTACGTTTCTGTTTCTCACCTCCCCAGTCCCTTAGCAGTGTTTCGGGTGATCCCTTCCCCACTAGACCATTTCTTCTTGAACGCTTGCCTCAGGATCTGCTTCTGGAGGAACCAGAATCCGGGTCACACTGCTAGAAAGTAGGGAGCCAGATTCTAACTCAGCTAGTCTCCATCTAGAGTCCAAGCTCTGAACCGTTGTGTGTACATCTCCTTGATAATGAGCATAAAGGCCAAATACACTGAATGAATATTTCTTCAATCTTTGGGCTTTTTTTTAATGATTTTTAAAGTCAGGAATACAGAACTAAATGAAATGTAACTTAGAAATTAGTAAACATTTGGAAAACTTTTAGTTTTCTTTTACTTCATGATCAGTAAAACAAAGTAATTTTTTGTTGTTGTTCCCTTAATTTCTAACTCATCCTCTACAGAGAAATTACTGTTTAAAACAACACTGAATCAAGTGTTATTTAATTGATCTGCACGTTGTGCAAAAGGACTTGGGATCCAGTAGAAATCTAAGTGTGTTTTTTTAAAGCATTCATATTTTACTTCTTTTACTCTCATAAAATCTCCCCTTCATTTTCTTCTTTGTCTTTCTTTTGTTAAAATTTTCTTTCTCATCTTTCTCTTTTCTGTTTTGTTTCCTTGTATATCTGTGTGAGAAAATTAACTAATATTAGATATAAAGAAAAAAAACCAATGACTATTAATTGAATTATTTTTTACTATCTACAAATTGAAAGGTATACTTTCCTTTAAAAATACTTTTCATTTGAATTCAGCTTTTTTATAAGTGGGTTTATAAGTATAGGAAAATCTGTTTCTTATTCACTTATTCTTTCGCCCTCTCCCCTTGTTTTTCTCCTTTCTCTCCACTTTTTCACCTTGCTTTTCTCCTTCTTTGCTCTTTTTTTAATAGATTTAGATGTCACCTTTCTCTAGCAGTGAAAGAAAGAAAGAAAGAACAAAAGGAAGAAAGAAATAGGGATTCAGTGCCATTACAAATTTATGAACCACAGGGTTCAAATGAGATCTATCAATGTGGAAAACACTGTCTTCTGTCCTGTTTCTAGTGCAAATATTGGAAAACAAACAAATCCAAAATGGATATAGAAGTGTTCTTAAGTCCTCAAATGAAACTCTGCATTCACTTTATAAAAGTAACATATTTATTATTCTAGCAACGTACTGCAGTAATAAAACACCACCTTACTCTGCATTCTGTTAACAAATATTTACTGAGTATCACCTCTGAACAAAGTCCCATGCAATAAGGCATGTATTCATTCAAAGGTGAACATGAAGTTATGTACCCCAATTGCTCTTATACAGGGTTCTCAAGCAGGGGTAATTTTGTCCCTGCTTGAACATTTGTCAATATCTCAAGAGCTTAAGAGCTTTGGTTGTCACATCTGGAAGTGGTGTTCATGTCACTGGTATCTAACAGGTGGAGACCAGAGAAGCTGCTGAACATCGTACCATGCACAAGACAGCTAGCTCCCTATGACAAAATATTCCTGGCTCCAAGTACAATAGTGCTGAGGCTGGGACACCCTGCTCTGACACTAGACTAAAAAGTGAGAAGTAGTGTGACAAAGGTCATGTTAGAAGAGGTGAAAGTTCGGCTTGAGTAGACAGGGAAGGCAGAGGGTCAGTGGGTAATTGGGTCATGAGGACATAGAAAGAGAAAGGTATTCCGAATGAAAAAACTGTCCAGGAAAGTATATGCTTGCACTCCTAATTTTAAAATTCCCATATGTCAAGCACATCCGCAGTCTGTTTTTATTAGGAAAAAGAAAAAGTTTATTTTGCTTTTACAACAAAACTCACCACA